CTCTGGCCATTTCTGGTCATGTTGAAACGGCAAGTTCCCCTATCATCGACCAATTAAGCAATTTAGCTTCCGGTCTTATATTTAGTTTATGGTTGTAGTAAGTAGTAGACTGACCCTAGCTAGCCCGCCGAATGGAGTAATTGTGAGTCAAGCATGACCCAAGTTTACCAGCCACTTACTGCCGTTGGGGTAATCGCTAAGGCTGATTGTGTGTGGTTTGTATACTTACTTTCAACATTGTTGTTCGTCCTCATATCCATGTCCCTCTCGTACACGTTCCACAGGATGGGTGTGAATGTGCCATTTACGTAGGTATTCGACACGTAGGCGAAGAAGTCCATCAGGGCAGGGTACCGGTTGATGAGATTTCTCGTTCGCCTGGCATTTCGCAGCAAGTTGAAGTTCATTTGGAGAATTGGCATTGGTAGGTAACCAAGAGACATCACTTTCCGAATGCATCTCCTCAGGTGACGGTTAAGGCGATAGTGTCCAGTAAGTCCAAGTGCTTGAACTCTCTTCCAGAGATTCTGGGTGAAGTGGAAGTAGCAGCCTCGAACAGTCACGTTGGGTAACTCGGTTTCAACTGCATTGATTAGGGCTTGCTCAAAGTCACATATAACTGTTCGGGGTGATGTTGCGAACGTATCTCTTGATTGCTTGGAGAACCTGTCTGTAAGAACCGATATCCGACCGAAAAGAGGCACAACCATGCTTGGCAAGTGCCCCTCCTCCAACAACGCCAATTGATTGTGTCTTGATTGGAGCGGTGTCTCTGATATCGGTAGCCGTCGACTACCAAAATTAGGCCACCACTCTCACCAGAACCCCCCTAACGGAAGCCGCCTTGCCGCGGTGGGGGGGCTAGAGATCCCAATGATCTGGTGAGCTGGACCAGAGGGCTACCCATACTGGAGGGGTCACCAGTGAGGGATGAGACAAAATGGCTTCCAGGTGCACCAAGGCCTATGAGAGGGGATGGTGCACCCACCCCTGGTTCATTCCATCTTGGACCAGGGAGAACTCTCCCACGTTTGTCTGCCGTGCGTGGCGTCCCGTATTACCAGGAGACAGGAGTCCTGGAGGTTGAGCGATGCTGCACGCTGCACCCTGCAGCTAGCAACACGCCTCTTTGGTCCTCTATTCTGGTCAGACGGGTGGCTTGACCAAGGCCCGGTCAAGTCAATCGGCTGGTCAATATGGCTAGGGTCAAGCAGGCACTGTTCAGTCGGTAGCGCATAGGTCCCGCGACTACCATCAGCACTGTAATGTTGACTGCGTATATTTCCTCACTACCCCTGTGGCTGTTGGGAAAATTTGAGCCCCAACTATAGCTTCCCCTCGTTGGACTCCATGGCGGGTGGGGGGGTGGGGGGGTGAGGAAATGAAGATTTCTAATTTGTATGATTACTACAAATTTACAAAGAACTTGCTCTCCCTGACGACATTCGCAATCCCCTGGCCAATCCCTCTGGAACATCACATATTGTCACTCTGGAACCTTATCAGATTCCAAAGGGCAAAAATGGGAATCGTAATGGTTCCCGAGCACCCAAACCAGGTAAGAAGGAGAAAAGTCCTCCTCAATCCATTAAGGAAATCTTACCTGGTAAATATGAAAGTGTATTGTATAGTAAATACTTAGTGGTGAAGACCATCGATGGTGTATCTATCATGGATCTTGATATTTTTGAAGTACATCGGAAGATAGTTGAGGTGTGCCAACGTGATCCTTGCATCACCCCACAGCGAGATGGCAGCCTGATAGTTGAGGTATCATCACCAGATGAGAGTGACCGTCTGCGTACAATATGCAACATTCCTGGGGCTCAAGTCTCATGTTCTCCTCACAAAACCCTCAATCAGTGTAAGGGAATTGTCTTTTCCCGAGACCTGATGAGGTATTCTGAGGAGAAACTGTTAGAAGAACTGGAGAATTTTAATGTAGTAGTAGTAAAACGTTTTAAGAAGAAAGTTGATGGTTTGGAACAGTCGACACCAGCTCTTCTTCTAACTTTTGAATCCTTAGTCCTTCCTGAATCGGTTAAGTTGGCATGGTACCACCTCAAGGTCAAGCCATATGTACCATACCCTATGCGGTGTTTCCACTGCCAGGGTTATGGGCATGGAGCCAACAATTGCCGTTTTAAGGAAAATGGACAACCAAGAGTGTGTGTGAAGTGTGGTACAACAGGTCATCAAGGAGATGACAACTGTCCAGGTCCAATATGCTGTTATCACTGCAAAGAAGATCATGAAGCTTCTTCTAAGCAATGTAAAAGGTACAGATTTGAAAAAGAAGTATTGGTAATAAGGACCAAGGAGAAAGTTAGTTTTGCAGAAGCAAAGCGACGTGCCCGTGTGCTATTTGCACAGCCGGGTAAGTCCTTTGCTTCAGTTCTAGCCTATCCTCCTTCCCGCCATCCCTTTCCCTACAATACTTCTAATACCACACACTCTGCCACTACCGTTAAACATCAGTCCTCAAATGCTGAAACTAATT